AAGTTAAAAACTAAAGATCACCGTATGGCCTTCAACAATAAGCAAAACTCATACCGCAAGGTAAGCTGTAAAAGACTCAGAAATGACAAACCCTCCTTCTAAGACAGTGGTGCTACAGTACAACTAATAAAAAAAGCTATGACAATCAATTGAAAATGGCTTCAATGGCTTCGTCAGATAGATACTGAGATCAGAAATACAACTCACAAAAATCCTGACCGGACTTGGCAGGAAATTGTTACATCCCCCACAACAAAAAAGACACAAAGTACAGATCTGAGAGTAATCGCAGTTACAGTAACTAGTTCATAGCCAATAACAACTTGTAAAAAAAAATATGTATCAAAGACTTAAATAGCAATTAGTACACGTCATTGACAGTCAGAGAACAAACATGACATTGCGCAATGCCACAATATAGGAATCGACATAATGCAGAAGTGTGAATGTTCATATACGTGTAGCAGCAATTATATGCAGCATGATTTTAATTTACTGATTAAAATGAATATAAATAACAGTAGAAACAATATTTATAAATCTAATTACAGTGTTTATCAAAAGGATTGGTTGGTTTACTCGGATAGTATCTAAATTTCAGGGATCGCCGTACAAATTAGGATGGGCTATACCGTTTTAGATAAGTATTCTACAGTCAAACTTCCAAACCACATTTGTATCAATGGAATAATTTAGTAAAGCTTTTAAGTAATTTGTGGTGACTAAATAATTTACCAGTAATACGTATTTTATTAAAATCTGAAAATGACACTACAGAAATGGACATATCGAACGATTTGGGTTATATAAACATCGTAAGACGGTGTCAAAGGAACATCACCGTTTAAAAAAGTGAAAATTAACAATACGGAATGAAAAATCGTCCCTTTTGTCGTAACTTTTTTTTTGGTAGAGTTTCCAATGTAAAACTGCAATATATAAATCTAAGAAAGGACAGTTATTGCGTTTAATATTTGATTTATTTCAAGTAAGTTTTTTAGGTACATTTCGCCAATACGTTTAATTTATATCGTGATTATTTTACGAAAAAAAATAATTAAGATAATATAAGTGTTGTTGAATTAATCACTTAAATGGAACACAAAGGCATATTTACTTAAACTTGACTAGAACATGACCAAATGAACGTACTTTTATTTTTTTAAATGCACAAAATAACCGAAGCATGTTATAAAAACTAGATCTCTAAAGAGCCTGTGTTGCTCACCTAGGTCTATGTTCATCGTCAACAATTGACACTTTCCATCTTTGTGGACTAGAATAGACTTCATGACAAAAATCTTTTCTTTGTTATTCTAGTCTTGGTGGTCATGTTTCCTTATTTAAGTTTCTATCCATTAAATACAGTTTTTACGATAGTAGGCACACATACATAAAAATGTAGAAACCGTCGTTAAAGGGAAATAACTCAAATAAAGAATCGTCAAACGATTTCAACTATTTTTGACTGAATTGTAGATCTTGTCTAAATAAATACATATTTTGTTTTAGAGCTGCTGAAGTTTTCTATAATTTTAATATAATATGTACAAAAAAGTAGTACATCACACTATAAAAATATTTTTGAGAAAGCGCTGATTCAATTTTCTAAATCTTTTTAAATTTTAATCTATTGACTAAAAGAAATGCATTACGAAATAACTATGGTCTCGGGACAGATAGTGCAATTTCGTAATCAATCGACGGCCATAACTTGACGACAAAAAGCGAAATTCGTCAATACCAAAAAAAGAAAGATATTTGAAAGTATTGGTTGAGTAGATCTTATGCCATTGCACGACGACAGCTGGAGTCGCCCGCCAACCGAACAACTAAAACTCATTATAAAAAGTCTCCGCTAGAGAACAAAATACAAATTCTTCCACAATTAAAATCCAGAGAATGATAAGAAGTAATATTTTAAAACAAAGGAGTATTGCTCTCCCACCTGGTTTTGCTTAAATCACGGTTTGGGGGGATTGAAGCATATGAAAGTTTGAATTATTTACTTTAAAAAGATAATTTTGAATCAATGTCCCCAAATATTTTATTTCCGTTGTCTGCAAATGTCAACTATCGCTTAAAATTACGGTTGAAGTCAATTTTGAAGGTGTATGGACCATTAAGTGTACATGTTCAATAAACTATGCCTCAACGAACCAAATCATTGAAATGTGTGTGTGTCCAGTAATAAAGAGTTCGTGCATTTTTAAGAAAATATCAAATAAATGATTATAAGTATATCTGAAAGACCATACCAAATGTTTGCAATTAGATACTATTACATGTCTTATTCCACACGTAACAGTTAATCTTTTGTAGGCGAAACGCGCGTCTGGCGTAAATACAAAATTTAATCCTGGTATCTATGATGACTTTATTTACAACCACTGGGTCGATGCCAATGCTGGTGGAGTTTTAATTCCCCGAGGGTATCTCCTGCCCAGTAGTCAGCACTTCTGTGTTGACATGCATTATCATTGATATGGTCATATTTATAAATCAACTGTTTACACAAATTTTGAAATTTTGAAATACTAAGGCTTTTCTACCTCAGGAAAAGATTACCTTAGCTGTATTTGGCAAAACTTTTAGGAAGTTTGGTCCTCAATGCTCTTCAACTTCGTGCTTTATTTGACTTTTTTAACTTGTTTGGATTCGAGCGTCACTGATGACTCTTTTGTAGACGAAACGCTCGTCTGGCGTAAATACAAAATTTAATCCTGGTATCTATGATGAGTTTATCTTATATCAATGGTTTGTCTATCATGTTGGATGACTGAATTTCAACTTTGTGTAGTATTTTTGTAAAGACCTGCCTGTTCAAATGTATTCCAATCCCAATGTTTTGCTTTTATCTCATACATTCTTTCGCAAGTTTCGGGAAAGCTGAATTGTGTTCATGATTAGTATGCTGTATTTCTAACATTATATACATGAATATATTTTATTATATCATGTCTTGCATTAAAGAGGGACGAAAGATACCAGAGGTACAGTCAAACTCATAGATCGAAAACAAACTGAAAACGCTATGGCCAAAAAAAAAAAAGACAAATAGACAAATAATAGTACAGATGACAAAACATAGAAAACTAAAGACTATGCAACACGAACCCCACCAAAAACTGGGGATGATATAATGTTCTTCTCTGCAATTTTAAAATAAAAAAACAAAGTGTCTTTTTCAATGGATCAATCTGGAATCTATTTTTCTGCTCGCAAAATTGTATGTTTGAAAATGAGATTTCAGATAATCAACATTATAATGTGTAATTATAAAACATATGTTAACAAAAAAAAAACAAACAAAAGGGCATATAGACATAGCAAAAAAAAAAAAAAAACAAAAGGTCATATAGACATAGCAAAAATAAAAACAAAACCAAAAGGGCATATAAACATAGCACATAATAAAAAATGAAAGACAAAAATACAAAAAAAAAATGGCCATAGCACAATAACGCAATAACGCAATGGCGGGATGTATAAGTACCGAGCCACGCCAAAAGGATATTGCGTGGAAATGGACTAAACTGTAAAGGTTTATAATTTACAAATACAAATTAGAGAACACTATAACACCTTATTTACATAATAAACAACGCCCATTCCCTAAAAGCTATACTTCAAGACTTTCAAAGAAATAAGAAGAAGTAGTATGAGTGCCAATTAAACGACTCTCCATCGAAGTCAAACAAAAAAGTAAACAATTATAGGTCAAAGTACGGCTTTCAACACGAAGCATTGGCTCACACCGAACAACAAGCTATAAAGGACCGTAAAATGACTAGTGTAAAACAATTCAAACAGGAAAACCAACGTTCTAATCTATATATAAACCGAGAAACGAAAAACACTTATGAACCACGTCAACAAACGAATACCACTGCACAACAGGTTCCTTCATGCATTATTTGTGAAGTTGATACGGAATATTTATCAACAATGTCTTGGTATCTTCTGATGAACTTTTTTTAGAAAATGCATTGACATAACCCTGATTCATCAACTTTCTGCTCAGACACTGGTAACTTTTTACAAAGTCTTACTGGCACCTGCAAGCCCTTGATGAGTTGGGAAACGTATATCCCATATGCAGGTGAATTTTGTATATTGCTGCTGAGGTGGGGATATTATTTATTTTGAAATTAATATCGTCTCGTTTGTCATTGATTTTGGAACTGAGATGACCGCTAATGTAAAATTCGAGTTAAAAGTCTGAACATGAGCGGAGGAAGCCGTGTCTGTTGTTTCTTTAATTTCTTGTTCTGTGGGATATATTTATGGAACCTAATCAAAAACATTTGGATTGTTAATGTAAAGAACATCATCAATATATTTGAATGTAAAATAATAAATGATCTGGTTTCTTTGATCTTCTTGTTTGTGACAAATGTCTGACGAAATTCCGGTTCATATGAAAATAGGAAAAGGTCGACAAGGAGAGGCGCACAGTTCGTTCGAATAGGAATGCCGATAGTTTGTTGAAAACGTCTACCTTCAAATACAACAAATACGTTGTCAATAAGAAACTCATTTTTAGTGAGCTTGTTTGCATTAAATATGTCCCATAAACGAATACATTGTATGTCAAAATTTATCAATGTTGTGATCGTTTGCATATTTCACAAAATTCTAATTAAATATGATAATTACTATATACTTTACAAAGGAACTTTTAAATTCATAAGTCGAATAATAGTTGACAACACAATGATAAACTACAAAAACGACACAAAACACCCAACAGTCTACAATACGCAATATAAAAAAGAAGGATTGAGAAACCCTAGCTGACTAAAAAAGGGGGCTGATCTCAGGTGCTCCGGACGGGTAAACAGATTATCTTCCACCTGTGGCAGCCGTCGTGTTCTTCATGTTAGTGCAAATTATCAGATGTCAACTTTGTCTTTGATTTGTCTTTTAAACTGATTCAAGTGGCACTGATGACTCTTGCATAGACAAAACGCGCATCTGGTCAACAAAAAAAAAAAAAATCTTGTTTCTTTAGAGAGATTTTATTTACACCAATTCTTTACTGTTTAACTTTCCAAGTAAACAAAATCATGGAAAATTAATTGTTCAAAATAAAAATACTGGTATGAATTTGCCGTTGACATTTTGGAAAAAAAATCTATTAATACTTTTGATTTAATGACGGTAAACAATTAATTTTAAACAATCAATAAAAACAGTTAATCATTGTAACGACTTAAAGAGTGGCATCTGCAGATATTTAAACTATTTTCTAAATTGAGGACTAAACTTTATACAAAATAGTTACACCCAATGTACAACAGCTGTAACAAGTCGTACTACCAGTACAGTTGGCAGACTGTTTTGGCAAACTTTTATGGTACTTTGTTTGCTTATTATCGTCTTTTTTACCCCTTGCCACTGGTTTGTTTTCAAAAAACTAGTAAGTAACGTTTCTAATTTCAGGATATTAGTTTGTTTGGCATTCAAAACGCATCAGTTAATTGATAAGTCTTTGTTTCCTTGCATTGTTGTTTGAGATTTTGCCGCATGCCATTTAAAAGGAATGGAATGTATGACGAATCAATGAACGAATATGAAAGATGATCAGAATAAAAAGACAAAATTTAAACCACCAAAGGAGACACTGACATCGAGAAGTCGATGGTCAGAGGCCATTGTTATATATTATATCACTATTTTACAGTCAAGTGGTTGACAAGATCTTGTATTGTTTCGGGTTGGCCTTCTTCTATGACTATCGGTGTTGCTGTGATATACATTATCTGCGGCTGTGCTGTCTGATATTTAAGGTGACTGCGTTTGCAATTGGAGTTTGCATATGGTTGAAGTTTAATGAAGAAGTATTCGACAACTAGGCAACAGGAAAAAACAGACTTAAATGCCACTACGTCGATATTATATATTGATTGAAGAAGTGATGTGGTTTAGGTCGTTGCTGAAACTAACAAGAAGAAAATGATAAAGCTTCATTATATGATGAGGAGTTGGCAGGTTTTGAATAATATTGGTTAAGACGGCTTTTTCTAGTGCGTTAGTTTGCTATGCATCTACGTCGAAGAATTTTGACGATGACTTTGTTTAAAAAAAGAAATATTCTCTACAGTATCTGTGTTTTAATGTTGCTCTATTTTCGTTTCCTCTGAATTTTCTGTCGTTTTTTTTTCGAAGTTCGATATTATAATTGTATGTAATAGTTGTGATTTTTCCATTATATTTAGGCGTAAAAAAATGATGCTGCAGCAATTAATTTGGTTTGGAATCTGTTATTACATATGTTTTACGTGAATTTCATTACTTTCATCAACGAAGCATTATTTTGTAATTTGTACTCTGAGAACTACTTTGTTTTATGATAAGGGACTTACCTTTAAAACGTTGATTATAAATGGATGCCGTCAATGTTTTCCGTTTTGTTTTTCTTTCAGCAAATTAATATAATTCAGCATGGCTCACTTTTTTCCTCAGAGTATTACTTTTGTCGTTGTCAATCTTATTCCCTATTATAGAACAGTTTTTTTTATTCTGGAAAATTAAGATGAATCAAATGAGAATAAGATTGGTACAAGTTCATGATTTCAAACATCCAGGTATCAAATCCCCTCCATCCTTTTGTTTAAGGGTCACATTTGCGTTTTAATTTCTGAATTGAGAACGAATTGAACAAAGTTTTTTTAACCTCTAAAAAAACATATTTCTCAACATATTAGGCACTGTTGTTTTATTTTTATTTGCACATAGTTCATGTAGCTCCTATATTTTTTAATTCACATTTTGAATCTTTTGTGTAATTATCTGCCTTTTATATTTTGTCAAATTGTGAAAGCTAAAAAAAAAACGATATGAATCTAAATATTCAATACACTTGGAAGCAAGATAACTTTTCTGATAAGGAAACACTATACGTGCGACTTTATGGAGCTTTTGGTATATTTTAACAAGATTGAAACTGTATATACATGTATTTTATTGTATAAACGACAACTATGTAGTCAGGCAATATTAGCTGTAAAGCAATATACAAAGATTATTGATCGGAATGCGGCCTGATTGATAAAGAGCATGTGTACTTTGAACGCATAAATCGTGTAGTAAACTATTTGAAATGACTGATAAAATATATCGCATATAGTTTTCAACCTTCGTGATGTATTAATTTTTTATTAGTTATTTGTGAAGTGTGCTGCATGTCTGTCTACTTTATAATGCTAATGCAATTTCAAGGTTATAAAATTTACGGGTAATACAATTTGTATCTTCCTTTAAACGAAAATTCCTAAAATGTTTAATATAGCACAAATCTTTGTTTTTATAATGATATATTTACGAGACGACACAACAGTATTGATGCATATTGATGTCATCATTTAAACAACAATTCATGCTTATTTAATTGAATGTGAAATTATGAATAGCTTTTTTTTCTTTTCGATACGGTTCCTGAAACCATACCTACCTGTTATAAAGGTCTTTGTATTTTATATTTTATAAATAGTTTCTCAACGCTGAAAATAGTATTTGAACCATGGATGTGTGATATTTACGTACACTACATTAAGAAGAAAAATATTGCTTGTAACTTTAATTCCTTTGTTGTTGTGGTATCTAGTTGGCGTAGTTGTCATAGAAACTTCTCTTTCATTGCCAGTTCTTTTTTTTTGTGTGACATGTAAAATATATCAAAACACTGTAGGATTTCAAACAATACGGTTTGCCTAAAGGAATCTGGATCTCTTGTCAAATACCAACATTTTTCAACAAGGTTTAAATGTTTCAAATAGGTTGTCCAAGCTGTCAGATATAATGAATTTGAGCCATTAATTATACCGGAGGGAAATTAGTCTATCTTCTTATTTCTATTTTTTTTTTCTCTTAGATATGACTACTGAATGTTACATACATACATGAATTACTATATCAGCCTTCATACAACCAAAGACATACATGTACATTGCATTAGTAGCATTAGGTGTCAACTTTTGAAAATGTTTACTTTTTCGTGTATTGGACTAAGCGCCATGTATTTTCGAAACGCGCATGGCGTACTAATATTACAGCCTGGTACCTTTATGATATTGTAACTGTGATTAATTGTTCTTTTTCTTAAATTCGCAGACATTTGCATTTATTATCTTCATCAATAATTTGTAAATGTGTGTATATTATGGTGATCGATACTGCTTTGTGCAGAACATTTGATGAACGAACAAATGTGGGATGTGTACTCGTCAATTGTTCTTTATCTTTCCATTTTCATTTCGTCTTTATTCACATCGCATGAATATTTTTTTTTATTTCTCCTTGTGTTGTTTTTTTTTGAGTGATTTTGTTGAGGCGAAGGGGTTAAGATATATTCGAAGTCATACAATATTGAAACGTATGGTAATACTTAAAGTGATCGAGTATCATTAAATTAAGACGTACATGTAAGGTGCAATCACTATGTTCTCTCCGATTAAAATTCTAAAATTAAGTAGTTTTTAAAAGATGAAACAGAATATACTTCAATGACTTCTGCATATAATTCACACTTTAGAAATATGTGGTTTGTTGCTATAATGTTCATAAAAAAATTATCCAAAGTAACGTGATAGACTTGTATACTGTCGGTAATTCATTAAAGAGCTAATTATTTGTAAATGTATCAATATATTCCAGATTTAATATCAATCATACTGAAGAAATTTAAACCCAGTGAATGAACTTTAAATCAATTTATCATGCATAGTAAAAAAACTGTACCTTTCTTGATTTGGATAGCTCAGTTTTCTGAGGGAAAGTCGGCAATAAAGCATATAAGTTCTCGTTCTGTATTGTCCATTTTCCTATTGAATCAATTGATGACGGTAATGTTCTTTATGCCCGTTCTTACAATGACATCTACAGAACTTAAATAAAGAAAATAAAAAAAAAATTATATTTTAACCCGTTTTTAGTTAAGTAGTTTAATGATTTATGACATTTAAAAGTATATCTGATGCAGTTATTATAGGTCTTTATAAATGCTAGCTTTAAAATATAAATTAACTAAATATATGGGTGTTTTTTTCCTATATCTCATGAAATGTGTATGTCAATAAGCATTTGAACTGTTGCCACATATTACTGTTGATTGCAGCATTGCTGCTGTAATGCCTGATGTAATAAGCATTTCATAGATGCCATTATAACTATTCAGATGACTTGAACTACAACCCGCTAGTTTAAAAGATATTTTACAAAGTTTTTTTTTTTCAATGATATATATACGTGTTCATGCTTCTGTTAATATCTGGGGGAAAAATGAGAACAACACGTTAAATGAGATCATGCGTTCGAAGCACTTTTCTGGATTTACCTTCATCAGGAACGCTTGAAGCCGAATATATGAAAGCCGAGAATGTATAAGTGCCGAATCATTTGAAGAGCTTTATGACAAAAAAATATACCTAAAAATAGCCAAATCAATCTAAGATCAACTTTGCATGAAGGATTTGAAACCTTAGTTTCATTCTAATTTCAAAATTTAAAAACGGACATTTTTAAAAAAAATTGTTATGAATCATGTCAGTACCGAAGTACTGACTACTGAGCTGATGATACCCTCTGGGACTGAAAGTCCACCATCAGAGTTATCGACCCAGTGCTGTAAAAATGAGAACAACACACTAAATAAGATCATGCGTCCGAAGCGCTTTTTCTGGATTTACCTGCATCAGGAACGCTCAAAGCCGAATATATGGAAGCCGAGAATTGTAATTACCGAAACATTTGAAAGGCTATATGACAAAAATATACCTAAAAAAATCGCCAAATTGATCTAAGGTCAACTTTGCCTGAGAGAGTTAAAACCTTAGTTTATTTATAAAGTGGAAGTGTCCTGTCTGTCACTTACACATGCGTCATTTCAATTATTATTATATTTATATTTGTATTATTTTCTACGTTATATTTTTGCCACTGAGTGTATGGATAAAGGTACATGTGCACAGTTAATATTATATCGTTTGCTTACATACGTAGAATAAACTAATCAGATTATATGTCAAACCTTTTTAGCACAATGCAATTAATGTTTACAGTTTACCGATGATAAGATCCGTCATCCAAAGTAATTTGTCTTCTTCAGGGTCTTTCCTGTATTGACGTTGGTTCATTCACACATCGATGAGATATATTAAAATAAAATAAAACCATTGCATATCTTACCAAATTATGTGTATTTAAATTTTTCATTTGTTTGGTTTAGGTCACTTTACTTTTAACTTCAAAACAAAAGAATAAAAGAAATAATTACTACTTGGCAAATTTGGAAAAAAAACAAACTTTGAAACATTATTTGTTTTTAAACATAATCAATATTGAATAATAGTAGTGATACAGTAGCTTTTATGCCGTTTTTTTTTATATTAATAACACTTACACACTGGTATTTTATTTAAGTATCTTAATGATGTTTAAACGTCTTTTATCGTTTATATAGCTGGTTGACCTTATTGATACATACTATAGTATTTATCAAACTATATATTATATTTATCTAATATAAATATTAGTCAAAGTGTAAAACAACGTTATTGTCAATAAAAATACTATAATGCAGACATGAAATTAGTGATTTTAAATACATATAATGGTTGTTATTAACGTTAAATTGTTAAAGAATATTAGATAGTCGTTACATCAATAGCTATATAAGGTTAAGTGATAATACAAAATCAAATACAGTAATATTAATACAAATTTTGATAATAATGAAAAACATAACAAAGCAAAAAGCAATTGACAATAAACTAGTAAAAAATGTATATATATATATATAGGAAAGCTAAAGCTATCATTACAACATGTATCAAAATGCATCAACATATTGATACAAAAAGTTATTTGTAATATACTTACTTGACTATATTGCAGTCTCATAAAATGAAAACACATATAATATCTCACAACGAATTTGCGATTGTTAAGTTTGTTTAAATAGCCCTTTTCGTGTATTTTGGTTGGTGGCTGTAATAGCCGTGTATTCCACATTACTTATACTGGATATAACTACTCGACGATTTGTACATCTTTGAAGATTAAAATACTTTACTTAAATAAGATTTCCCTTTCCATAATAATGTATCGGCCTTTATTTACTTATTTTAAGGGTAACGCAAGTACATCATCAAACAAATCATTCGGACAATATGTTCTTCTTTTTTTATCAGGGGATCGTCTTGTTCGATGTTTTCATAACTGTTGTTTATACTTTTAACTGTTCTGGTGTGCATGTCATTTCTTTCACTTTTTGATTTTGTTTTTGTCTATTGAATATACTGTCCCTTTTATATTTTTGTATTATTTGTCGAGTTTATCATGTATATCGTCATCAAAAAGTGTTAACTCAAAAGACATGCATGCGTCAATTTCTGACGTTGCTTATTGTTGTAAGTCTTATTTCAAGTTTATTAACATACCTGTTGAATTTAACACCACGTGTATGCCATAAATGGTGTTGGTGTCGGTATATAGAACCGTGGCAGGGGATCCTTGTGCTTTTTTCCGCATTGCTAACTGATTGTTATTAGCATAGTAAATGTAACTATCCAATACACCTATAGCATAGTAGTCATTAGCAGGAGAATTAGTTGATATGATTGTTCTAACATCAGAACCATCCACATTAACTGATTTTATGTCACCATCGTAATTCATCCAATACAGTCTTTGTTCAGTCAGGTCTAAAATACAATTAACCAGTTGCTTTCACAATTATAATTTATTTATTATCAACATTGAAAAACTTGTTGACTAGAAAAAACAGTTCTTAATGAATATCAACGAATTTTCCTGTTGAAAATATGCTCACAAAAACATTGTGCGTTTAACAGTGACCGTAAATCTGCTTAATTACAAAAAAATATTACTAATAGGGACATTAAAAAAATACTGCTATCATATATTTTAAAGTACTGCATCTATGTTAGAATTTAAAGCATTTGTGTAGTTATGAACATCAGAAAAAACACGACACTTCAAATTTTACAGGGACATAAACCTTTGCTTTTAACTTACTATTGACTATATATTAAGACTTAATTTTTGATTGTATTTGAACAATATGTTTTAAAGTTGGTATTTTATTAACAAAACATATTTTTCATTTCTGAAAACATCTTTTTTCTGCATATAAAGTGTCTGCATATTTACAATTTCATATTAGACAATTTATGTGAATGTTAGAAACGTTTTTTTTTTATCAATTCGCTTCTTCAATAAACTGGTATTGCACAATCAAAGGTAAGCAATCTTTTTATTTTCCTTCACCTTTTCCATTTATTATGTAAGTACCCTTTAGACTTCTAATTGGCAACTTTACGCTTCAGATTGACCGTTTTTGAATGCAGAAATTAATAAGAAACGTAGCTTTCAGCTGCCTTAAACGGATATTACTATTTGATTTTAACGCTCTTTAGTTATATCAATTCTAATACAGCCTAAAAAAGGTCCAATAAATATTAGGCTTTTAACGTTGCTGAAGAGGGTGAATCAATGACAGTACTTCGGACTCATAAAATGTACAAAGTGTTATTTCATTTTTCTAAGCTTGTTCCAATTTAAGAAAATTAAGACACAACTATCATAACTTGTTTGATAAAATATTTGTAAAATGTTAATGCAGCAACCTATCTTTTCCTACTTCACCTTCGAGGCTTGCAACAGGTAATTCGTTTTTAAAAAAACGCAATCTATCCATTCTATCTACTTTGCCAATGGTTATGAGGAATTGATTACATACAAATGCAATATGTATGTATGGAAAGCAAGATTTCTCCATAATCTGCAGTGCATTCCACTTAAACGATCTAGTCAATTGTCTTAAATGATCAAGCAATATGATACGAATAATTATCCATTGCATAGCACATACTTATGAGTAAGTACTATATTACAATTAAAGTTGCAATCTTTTTTTGAGTAATACTTATTTTTCCTTAATTCGATTATTGGTATGGGGAATACTACTAAAATTGTTGTATAGGACGTTAAACACAAGAAATAACAAACATAGAAATGCATAGTTGTTCAAACGTTTTATTTTGTGTGACTTTGAATATTGCTTGTTATCTGTCATTAAACTGTGAAGTGCCTAATTTACCTAACTTTTACCTACATTGAAGATACATTGATAGGACATCTATAGTGTTATCTTAGTTTTTGTTCTTGGCAGTGATCAATCAATGTTTAAATATAGTTGTATGTTATATGTTGATATTATACGCGCCTCCATATATAGATATATTTAGTTGTGGCACACAGGCAGGCCTGTCAGATGGTTAAAACATGTTGAATCAATAAACAAACTAGAATACACTTATTCATTACACATACCGATATCCATACAGACTGCACGTACTTTTATGTTGGATGTAAAGTTAACAATCATACTTATGTTAGTTAAATCAAATCTGGATTTGGATATTCCTGTTTCGAAGTAACCGATATACATCCAACTGAAAGATAATGGAAATCCATATATAAGGTCAATCATTTATGCTTATATCTAATGTCAGGATACCTACAAGATATAGATAAACATGCAGATCTGACAAAATAGTCTTTGTTAGCGTGTACAGTGTGATCACTTATCATTTCAGCAATAAACACAAAATATTATCATGTATGAATATACATGTCGAAATAAATATTAGATAAAAATCTAAAGGATACAATCTCTGATAAACTGTTAAAAAACAAGAACACTATAACATTAAATAATAACACAAACGATGCGAAAACATTTTCAAACTAAAGGATTAAACAAACACAAACAAAACATTAGGTACATGTAAGCCGACTATACTGGTATTTAAAGAAAATTAACAAGAGAAAATGTTACAGGACGTATCTGTCAACCGATTCATAGAAGTGACTGTCAAACTTGTATGTATGTAGTGTTTATATCAGGCGTTCTTTCAATGCGATTCTCCTCATATCCTTGAGTGAGAATTTTTGTTATTTTTGGGAACAAACCCCACAATGACAGGGCCTCTTAACTATAACTACGTGAAATTTATAAAACCGTAGAATATTATTACTTTGTGAAGGTTAATGATAAACACCTCTGGGGTGCCAAACATTTCTAGAATTAACCTGATTGTTGAGTTTTTATGACTGTAAAAAAATAGTTGGTGAATAAAAAATCATATTGTGGTGCACTTCATTTTTTGCTATGGCCCTTTGAAAGTACCAAATTTTGATGATTTTTCCATTTTTCAGCAATTTTTACCTATTTTTGGGCTATTATCGTGAAAAAATAACAGTTCCATAATTAAACTTTTTTTTATACTTTAGATAAAGATGAAGTGAACCAATCTGAATAAATTTAACTAAAAAATATAGGTAGGTGTTAATATAAGAAAGTTTTATCATATTTTGATCCTTTTTTTGTGCCAAATTTACCATGCTGTCAATTTTGTAAATTTGTGATTTTTCTCAGTTTTAAGAACAAAATGCTTTTATTTCAATTTTTTTTCTTTTAAATGTTTGAAAAAATACATATCTAAGAAATTTAAAAAGAAAAAATGATATGGGATGTTCATGATTCTTGTTAAATCATTTCTTGTACCTTTTACCCATTTTTTCAAAATTTTGGCTAAAAGGACTGACTTGATTGGTCATAAAATTTGAAAAATTGATTACTCAAAAAAAACCACTCATTGTAAATACAAATTTTTTTCACAGAGTTGAGTCTGATCTCATTTGATTAACAAAAGTCTGTCGACAAATTTTGCAACCAAAATCGACATTTATGGCTGTAAGCAAAGAGTGCAGCATTACAATAAGTTCGCATGTGATACATTTGTTGTTATTTTGTTCAAAACCAGAATATAAACCCATTTTTGCTGGATTTTGTTGCTTTGAAAGAACTTTGTTCAATAAATACATAGTATCGGTTGTAGTTTATATTGTAGAAAAATCTCAAGTTATGCTAATATTGCCGAACTGAAATAATTTTCAATGAACATTTTGGAGTATTTTAAGGCTCTAATGTTATGTATCATTGTCATAGTAAGATGAGCCTTAACATGGAAATACAGCAGTTGTGCTTTATTCAATTTACGAAAGACTAGTTATTCAAGTAAAAATATTCAGTGTGACAAAGTCCTGTAAAAGTTAACTGTAGAGAGTAGAATTCCCAATTAAATTAAGGGTCATTAAAGCACATAATTAATATAAAACACAGGTTTGATTACACAACTTAATATTGATAAGGTCGTTCAGAGTAGTCATGGAACAACTTGTTTTCCAAATGTAACATTGGTATTTACGTTTTAAAGCATTTTAAATAAATAGTTTTATTTAAAAATATATCTGTATTATAATATCCGGAAATATATAAGAGAACTATAAATAATGTGTGTGTATGGTTTAACTTAATAACGTCGTAATAAGATAACTTGTATAAATATTGAAGTGTTTTTAATATATGGGCCTTTCGATGATTACTTACAGTCATTTGGGCTTGATAAAATTGTTTTTTTTTTAAATTGAAACAAAACACTTACGTCGGCAATACCTCAACCTTTAATATGTGTAAGCAAAAAAAAAAAAAAAAAAAAACGTTTAAAGATATTAAAGTATAGGAAACAAATAAACAATTACGAAATCATACAAGGTACATATTTGGTGAATATAG